GTATTGAATAAGGACCATGCCTGAAGTTTTTTGGGTAGGGGTGTTGCTGCCCTTTTTTTTTTTTTTTTTTTTTTTTTTTTTTTAAGATTATAGGTAACCACACTGCACCTGTAGGAAATATATCAGTCTGTTCTCTCAAGAATCTTTTGGTTGTGACTAAGACAACCTCCCTGACATCAGCTTCTCCTAGACAAACATTATGTAAGTGAAGAGTAAAGTTTTAATAGGCACTACTCCATGTATACTAGGTGACACTGAGGAAGACCAACAGAAGCAAGTCTATATTACTTAAAATGAAGAATGCTAATGGAATTAATACTATATGAAAGGGTATTGAGATGAATCAATGCTACTTCACCATTCTTGTATTGCTTTGCAAATTGAGATTAACATGACAGGGTCAGAAATACAACACTGGAAGGCACGAACACCTATCAGCTGGGTCCAGGTGGCACACATGCAGCATCATCTCAGCTATCAGAAGACACATCCACATCCAAAGAGCAGCGCTCTCAGAACTGATCTGTGTCCTCCGAGTCACTTGAGACCTCTGGACTCTGAAATGGTCTTTCTTCCCTTGGAAAACAGTGCACTCAAAGCACCTCTCCAAATATACCCTCAACCTTACAGAATGAAGCAAACACACAGTCAGGTTGTACAACAGACAATCTAGTAACTGTGATTACAGTGTTCTGGTACTAACACTTCCAGAAAACACTGGCTCCCCTGGCCAACATCTCAGTTACCTTCTTCGTGCCAGTGAGTTTCCAGTGCTGGACTCCCTACCCAGGGGGACAGTTCCCATCACTACATGTACTGGGCAGAACTGGCAGGGTTTCAGGAGCCGGGGTTGCAGGGGTGACCTGTGGGACGGGTCCATGACCTTCCCTGTGCCAGTCGTGGCTGCTCCAGCCACCTCTGAAACACCTATAACCAAGCCGTCGTGTGCCAAAATTTCAGTCAGTTGGAGGAAGCCATGATGGCTTGACCAAAAACGTATTTCTAAAAGCATGGCAGCTGCTAGAGGCAGGAGAAATGGAAGAGATGTGGGGAGAAGCAGAAGAGACAACTAGGAGGAGATGTTGTTGGAGACATGGCTGGAGACACGCTCTCAGAAGTAGGCAATCCATGCCAGGGTGGGGGCAGACATCTCCGAGAAGACTGCAGCCCAAAGGAGACCCACGCTGGGGCAGAAAATGCGCAAGACACAAGGAGCAGTGGACAAAAACAAGTAAGAAACCAGGAGCAGCAGAAAGCAGCCATTACATGCAGGACCTCGGCCCCCTGCCCTGCCTGTCAACTCACCAAAGCAACTGGGACAAGCCAAGGGTAACCCACAGCAAAAAATAGGGGAAGTTTGTCCTGGAGGCAGAAGGGAGAGAGGTGTTCCCCCTACACGTCCATTAAAGTTTTATGTTTTGAGGGTCCCCCCACCCCCAGTATCCAAATCAGCAATCAGAATGTTGTGTTGTTTGGCAAATTATGTAAAAAATTCCCCAAGTTGAGACTGGTTTGCCCACATCATCATATAGCTTAAATAAACCATGACAACCACCACTTCCTTACAGCCTTGCAACAACAGTAATTGGTAAGGTCAAATTTTCTACATTTTAGACAATAATGAGATTTTAAATCTTTCTAGTTCATGCTTGCCTCTCGTATACAATTTCTGAGCTACTCTACTGAAAGCATACCCATTAAAATTTAGTCAGTCCCAGTGACAAAACTCTTCATAGGTGCATTTTGTTTTGTACAATCTGGTCTTAAACATCTCAAGAGACAGACCCCTTCAGATCCTCACAGGTTATTTTGCAGATTAGCATGTTTGCTGAAAACCTTCTTCTCATACCAAACTTCCCTTTATTCATTTCAAACAAGTCTCATTATTATCATTCTTTGGTACTGCTCACTGAACTTACTTTCTTGTTCCCTAAACTCATCAGGTATTAACTCAGCTTTCTTGGTTTTTGTTTTAAATAGCTAATTTAATATCCAAAGTCAACTAAAACTTCCATATTCATTTGCAGGATTGAAAAATAAATAAAAAATTGTACTACAGCAAACAAATTAAATTGTGTTCTTAAGGCAGAAGCTATTAAAAAATTAAGACAGTGCTAGGTAAAGGTGGTCCTAACTATTGTAAACAATAAACACTACAACAACAATTAGAATCAAACAAAACTCCCAAATATTTCAGCTGTGGGTCTTAAATGAAGGTTAGCCTTAAGGTGAGACATTTCACCTGAAGGGACATGTATCTGTTTCTGATCACAAGCAACTTTGACACCATTACATAAAAAGGCACCTTCCCTCTGCTACTCAGTATTTTCTCAGAAGAAAATCTGAACAGTTTTACCCAAGTCTACTGGTACGGCAGGAAGACAATAAAATTGTAAGTGTCTTCAGGTTCCCCAAGTTTACCAATTCTCAGTTTGACACACAAATAAGGACATTGGGACACCAGAAGAATCACAGAACTAGACAAACACCACTCTGTAGAAGTTTCTCATCTTGACTTTCTCCCATCTTCTAGGTGGCAAGCTACACAGGCAGCCTGAGTGCTTCATCCCATCAAATTTATCTTTTCTGCCCTATCAGCAATCAGTTGAACTTTCAATGTACCTTCATAGAGCCAAGGAAAGCTGCAGACAGGACACAGCCAAGGAGAAACAGAAGTTTATAAACTACTGATAGTAATCAAGGCCTACTGTACTTGAAAAAACAAGCCCGAATTTTCTGTTAGGTTCCCCACATCTAGCAGCCTTCTGGCACAAAAGACATTTTTCAGCTATTTAATATTTTACCATGTCAGTGTAAACAAGGTTAGAAATCATTGCAGATCTCAACCTAACTAGAATAGAGTAAGTTTGATTTTGTCCCCAGATTTACAGTTTTCAATGTGCATCAGCCTGTCTGTTATTTTACATTGTAAACAACTGACAGTCAAGGTCAGAGGGAATTACGGCTCTCAGGGATGATAACCATTCAAGACTTCTGGTACATACTGCTTAGTTTCAAATTCTCATAGGAACAGGAGTTTCTTTCAGAAACAGTAGATTGCACAGACTCAGTATCGCAGTATACATGAGCCCAGACCATAGTTAAAATCTATAGTGTGATGTAAATTGTCTTTTCAGGGAAAGACGGTTGATATGCTTATCCCAATTATACTTCTTCTATTAAGAGAGGTTTTATTTCTCAGGAAAATAAAAACATCATTTGCAATGAATTTGCTTTAAAGAATCATAAAGCAGACTTGACAGCAGTCTCAGGTGAAATCTGCCTTATAATGAGACATCAATTAGCATAAAAGTAGCAAATATCACACAATCAGTGGAGAGACAGAGTATCTACATACATTGTTAAATTGTGCAGTCTTGATGTGTTATAAGTCTTTCAGATTTCACCCCTTGAAGTTGACTATATAGAGAATGAATTCTGCATTGGTGACTAAAGACATTAGTAGGGAGGAACTATGATCGGTCTAATGAGTAAGGTCCATCTATGCTGCCACATCACAAGAACGACTGCAGCATGAGGTAAAGGTGCCCACAGTAGCTTTCAGTTACAGCTCCAGCAGCACAGAAACGGGCACACAGTGATTTGTCAGGCAGCACCTCCACAACTGCATCTCAGATATACCACGGCACTGGAGCCATGAAATGCAAGACTCCTGAAAATTGACTGCAGCAGCAACTGTAGCAGACATGAGTAATGTTCTTCCATGCCTAATATATAAAAAGGCAAGTACTACAAGCAGCAGGAAAAATTCATGAGTTCATAAGGATACCAAAAGCAAGAATCCACTCGCAAATGTGAACGTGTGTGATTCAATTCCCACTGAAGTCAGCAGTGAACTTAGCAGTGGCTTCAACTACTTCTGCACACGAAATAATTCTGACATCCATTCTCCATTAAGAATGCCTACAACTGCAGCTACGATACCAGACACATGGTGTTATGCAGCTGTAGTTTACCAACACAAAGACGTCTCTGTGTAAAATAGAACTGTTTCGAGGTCATACACCAAATTATGTCACCCTGCTGAAGCAAAGGCAGTCTAAAGGTGAAGATGACTGTTTTAACTGACAGTTTATAAAAACAATGACATTACAAAACACAAGAAGGTGGGGGGGGGGAAATCCCACCAAAGCCAAAATGCACACACATCCCTCACAATACTATAAAAGTACATAATTACTAGCATGTTTTCCACCCGTCACTGATTTTTCTGGATTTTAACTGCACTTCATGTATTCAAACATAAATGCAAAACACCAAGAATGGCAGAGAGTCTTTATTGGATATTATCAAAAATAGCAAGGCAGCTTGTGTTCAGCTTCTGCAAGTTGGATACTTACATTTGTCAACTGCAAAAGTCCTAACACAATTTAATACCCTCATCTTTTACTTGCCAAAAAGACAGAGATTATTTGTCACAAAGGAGGTGCTTTGGTAAGGGTAATTGGATCTGGATTCTGGCATTTTTTGACTTGACTTTAAGACGTAACATTAGGTCCCAAATCAACAGAGACTTCAGTAAGGTTACTAAATACATGAAGATAAATGAATCTTATCTTTGTTCATATACAACCATTAAGTAACCTCAAATGCGTTGGGACTTTTTTTAAAGATGAACATTATAGCAAAATTTTTAAAACGCTGTTCAAGAACTTCAAGTTTGTTTATATATAACACAGTTACTTAAACCCAAAATTTATCTACAGTTTTGAACTGTATTTCTTGTAGACTAATCAATTTTCATTCCCAAATAAGACAGTCAGAAACATTTCACTCCCTATGCAGGATAAAGCTCCAGAACTAAAAAACAGATAGAAATGGAATTGAAAAGCACAGTGAAAACTTACACAGCAAACAGTTTCCAGAAGATCTATTAAGAGGCGTAATAATACTTTCACCAAATAGGCAACACAATAAAAAGCATAAATATAATAGTAGCAAACACTTAATCTCATTTTCTTTTCAAGCTTGCTACTTACTGTAGAAACCCAAATCTATCAGTGACTTTGTAAAGATGATAGTCAGCATCTTCCCATGGTTCAATCTGAGCACCTTCTCGTCCCTAAAGAGAAAAAAAAAAAAAAAAAAAAAGCCAAATTAAGTTCTATGACACAATAAACTAAGACACAAGAGACAGGATTCAACCACTCAAAGCATAATCTTTGGGATACACACATAGTAGGGTAGAGGAGGGGGAGGAGAACACTAGTCCTGAACTGACCAACCAAGAAGAAAGAGTAGCAAACCTCTCCCAGCCCCTACAAACAGTATTTTCATCACAGGAGATCTCTTTTGGTCACTTCTATACACAGAATAAATTTCAACCACAGACTCATAATAATCTCACACCTGTCATCAACCTCCATAATAGTCCATCAAGGCCCCCATGGAGTGCCTTCTATTCATTTTATTTCCAAAGTCCATCTTTCCTGAGACATCACCTAACAGCACATACTGAAGACAGCCACAAGCTAACATACATGCTGGCTTCCAGCAGCTGTCAAACAGAATGCAGCACTGAGTTTTCCTTCAGTGAAGCATTCATTCATGTTCCTGTCTTCTACTCTAATTCCCAATTTTTGTAAGACTTGGAGAGATTTATGTATATTTCAGCTATATATTCTGGTGGTATAGGTTATGCACAGGTTACTAGGTATGAAGAGAGGCTACTACTCAGAACACACAATGTACTGGGTTTGCATGGCAAGGTTTTGGTGGCAGGGGGGCTACAGGAGTGGAAGCTTTCCCTATGTCTGACAGCGCCAATGCCAGCCGGCTCCAAGATGGACTTAACCACTGGCCAAGGCCAAGCCCGTCAGCAACGGTGGTAGCACCTCTGGGATAACATATTTACAAAGGGAAAAAAAAAAAAAAAAAAAAAAGGCAAAAGTAGGCAATTGCAGCCAGAAAGAGGAGTGAGAATGTGTGAGAGAAACAGCCCTGCAGTTACCAAGGTCAGTGAAGGAGGAGGGGGAGGAGGTGCTCCAGGAGCTGGAGCAGAGATTCCCCTGCAGCCCGTGGTGAAGACCATGGTGAGGCAGGCTGTGCCCTGCACCCAGGGAGGTCTGTGGTGGAGCAGATCTCCACCTGCAGCCCGTGGAGGACCCCACACTTGAGCAGGGGGATGCCCGAAGGAGGCTGTGACCCCGTGGGAAGCCCCCGCTGGGGCAGGCTCCTGGCAGGACCTGCAGCCCCGTGGAGAGAGGAGCCCACGCTGGAGCAGGTTTGCTGGCCGGACTGGTGACCCCACGGGGGGCCCACGCTGGAGCAGCCTGTTCCTGAGGGACTGGACCCTGTGGGAGGGACCCACGCTGGAGCAGTTTGTGAGAGCTGCAGCCCATGGGAAGGACTCACACAGGAGAATTTCATGGAGGACTGTCTCCCACGGGAGGGACCCCACACTGGAGCAGGGGAAGAGTGTGAGGAGTCCTCCCCCTGAGGAGGAAGGAGTGGCAGAGACAATGTGTGACAGATTGACCACAACCCCCATTCCCCATCCGCCAGCACTGCTTGGGGTGGGGGTAGGAGGTACACAAAACTGGGAATGCAGTTGAGCCCAGGAAGAAGGGAGGAGTGGGAGGAAGGTGTTTTAAGATTTCATTTTTATTTTCTAATTATCCTACTCTGATTTTGTTTTGTAATAAATTAAACTAATTTCCTTGTCAAGTCTGTTTGCCCATGATTAACTGCTGAGTGATCTCCCTGTCCTTATCCACCCAAGAGCCTTTCGCTATGTTTCCCGCCCTGTCCAGCTGAGGGGGCCAGTTGATAGAGCAGCTTTGGTGAGCACTTGGCACCCAGCCAGGGTCAAGCTGCCACAACACGTGCATGGTTTTTCCTTATTAAAACAAAAAAACCCACAGCCACTTACTTAAGTGAGCACTGTGCAAACCACCACTAACTCTAACATGTAAAATATTTCATGAATGCTACATACAAGTCTATTGCTCCGTACTGCAGTGACACTCATGAAGTCTGTAAGTGTTACAAGAATATGTGAATAAGGTGCAGGCATTCTGGGAGTACTCTTTGCCAGGCTTTTACTTGACAAGTGATTCAAGAAAAAAAAGGGATATGACTAGGATGTTTCAATTCCTCACATCAATCTGTCAAAGAATGCAGTTCACTCATCTTCTAAATTCTCTTAATGATGACTTAAAAGTTTCTATTACCATAACCAAAAACTAAATAAATAAAGAGTCCTTCTGATCTCACAGATATATTGAGCATCCTCAAACACCCCAGTTTCATTAATTCTAATACATTACACTACCTTAAAATAACCTCAAAGCAACTTGTCATACACCTGAAAAATGAGTTGAGTCATTATCCAGAACATCCCCCATGGAGGGAGAATTTAATTCACCCAGAGGCCAGCATATCATGAAACCATCAGATTAGTACTACACAGAGTATTTAAAACAAAAGCTAGCAGGAACCATGATTCATTTTTTAAACAGACATATTACTAAGATTAATTATAAAATGTCTTTTAAATTACTATCAAGTTCACTTACTCTGTCATACTTGGCAACTATCTCTGCTCGTTCTTGGGCAAGTTTGATAGCAGCATCCTGCTCAGCATCTGCACCTGTGGAGAATTAAAATAACACTGTTCAGATTCTCTCCCTGTGAACAAAGAACTGCAGCTAAATACTTGGAAAATCAACTTCAGAGACTATTTGGATGGAGAAATGCCAAAACAATTGTATCAAAGCAAAATACGACCTTGGTGCATATCTTGAACAATGTTCAGAGTAAAATACAATTATTGGATGGTATCCTAATTGCTGAGTTTAGAATGATCCCGATTTTCCACCAAAGTATATATTAAATAAAGATAAAAAAATAATACCCCCACAACCCACTAACTGAAAGACTGAAGAAAGCATCAAAAGCTACTATATGCCAATTCCACAAATATTCACATAGTCAAAGAAAGCCGAAACATACAGTAGTGGTTTAAAACAAAAGTGTGGATTATTTACAAGGTTTGTAGAGAGGGAGTAGAAATACTGCATGACTTCATCTGAGAAACTGCCTAAGACTTATTTCTCAGAAAGCATGAAAGGACATCGTTGTAGTATCAGAATTGCAACTTGGGCAACCCAGAGTTGTAATAAGCATAAGAACACGACAACAGGAAGGTTGACAGGCAAGAAAAAACAGATGCATGGGTAAGCACTGGACATCAGTACACTGCAGATGCAGCAGTTTACTGCAGCAGTGGAGTTAAGAAAATTTAGATAAATCTGGTTTGATCAAGAAAAGGTGAAGCAGGCTGCATGTGTAATTGAATTAGTTTCCTTGGCATTGCTCCCTTAGCCGAAACCACCTCTAGAACATGGAAAGGAATGTAAAGAGGGCACCAAGAAAAGAAAAGTAAGAAAGATGCTGCTTTGAATATTCAACATGATGCATTTCAATATCCCAGAAGTGATTATGACTTCAAACTAATGAGGCAAATCAGTTTTAATCAATAAGTTTGTGAAAGATTCAAGAATTCATTTGTTTCAATTATTAAAAAGCAATAAACTCCAAATAAAGCAAAGCTTTAAAAAGGTTTGAAATAGTTTTCAAGCACACACTGTTATAAAAATAATCCCAGGTATGTGTTTTTTCTTCACTAATTTGATCATGGCAACATAATGAACTCCAGGAATGGTACGTATCAACCATCTGGGCCATGAAATAGAAGAACAGATCCAACATTACAGTTTTCTATCACATGACACTAATTTATCTATTTGTTCAAACCCAGTATTTCTTTAATAAAATTTACTTAATACATTTCTCAGATATTTAAACAAGAAGTTGTGCCAAGGTGGCCTTCTAAGCCATCTGTTAGAGATTTAACATGGTCTCTGCATGTTTTCACTTGAAGTTTCTTTAGCAGACAAAACCTCAGCGTGCCCCACCACAGACACGAGCACCAGCATTCAGGCAACAGAAATGCTTGTCCCAAACTTCCCCTAATGGAAAGTCTGACTACTTCTTCAAAGCTTTCACTTATGATCTCTAAAAACTACACTTTGATATCTTTATTCTGGCCTCCTTCTGCTTGTCACTATCATTTGCCAATCATATTACTCCCATTTGTTAGCAAGGACATCAAGCTCTTCCATTTTTTCCAGTGTGCACCAGAACCAGCACACGTGTGTTTACACAAGTATTTGAGGGAGAAAAAAAACAGTAATTAGGAATTACATTTGCTATATTTGGAAAGTATGTATTTATGTGCCACAGCACTGATAAATAATTTCCTCCCTGTAAGGTAAGAGGTGACTAGACTCATTTCATATTGCTCAGCCTTTGATGTTGTCCAAGCAGCACACTGTTCCTCCTGCTCCTTCAGGTGCTGGATCCACCTTTATCCCTATGCTTAAGAAGAACCACAAGAAACAAAGCACTTCGGTTTCAGGTTTGTTTTTCTCTAATGCAGTTTTAAAGAGATTGCAGGACTCCGTTACCCTAGCTACTTACATGAATGCTGACCAAGACAAAACCCTTACTTGGCAACCGCAGAGCACTTCTGGAACCACTCCCCAGCACTGTCACCACACAAGACTGAACTCTACACTACTCTGAGTGCATTCAAGCACTATATATTCCCTGGCACAATGATAACAATCTGGTTTTTATCATTTACTAGTTGACATACTATGCCTACTAAACTGACAGTATCCACTAAAGCTACTAAATCCACACTGACATAAAGTAGTAGATGAAGCCTAGTATTACTTTCAAAGTGAGAAGCTAAAGGAACCATAATAAAAATTAAATTGCATTTTCTTTTGTAAGACACAAAGAACTCTGTGTTTACGGTAAGCCTTTATAGAAGGCCACTTGTGGGTTTTTAAAAAGTAAACTTTACGTTTGCTTAGAAAGCTGACATTCCTTCAGAGAATTCAAGTACTGAGCAATCCTAATCTTCACTTCTCCAATGGACAGATATGGAGGAAAAGCTTACTAGTTTAAAGTGGTACTGTGGCTGGCCTTCTAGAAATGGCAAAAAAAAAAGTCCTATCACTATTTTCTCAGTAAGAGAGAGATTAGATTTGATTTGAGAAAAAGTGCAGCTGAATAATAAGCAGTCAATATTGTAATACATAGTAGTCAGTACATTCAAGTACTAAGTAGTCAATACATCTATTCACAGAATTAAAAAATAGATTACTACTTTTATTTAAAAATGTACACAAAAGGACACACACACCTCTTCAACAACACAGATGAAGTAAGTGGCAAAAGTTGAAACAAAGCTTAAAACTTTGCTTCAAAGAATGCAAAACTGTATTTGCACCAGAAACTGAGTCCTGATTTATGCCGAAAACATGGCCATGACCTACCTTCCTTTCCTCTGCACAAGTAGCGTAGGAATCAAAGTTGGCATGTTCTCTGCCTCATGACAATTCAATTACATTTAGTGTGGAAATTATCATATTCATTGCCTTTAAAGTAATCCTCTTCACTTTCTGTCAGAATCATCTTAACCTTCTAGCTGTACTGAGATAGTTTAATGTTACGTTAATCCATCCATACTGAAAACTCAGAAAATAACTTGAGACAGGGACAAAAGGTTATATTTTGGGAGATAAGCATAAAATATTATTTTTCTTATGAGAGGAATTATTTAAATATCTCCAAGTTAGAAATTACACAATGATTCCTGATAAAGTAAAAGCTAAATATGGAAATAAGAAAAATTCCACATGAAATATCCCCCTAGGCAAAGAAATACATCACTATATCACTACAAAATTAAAGACAAATAACTAGTATTCCAGTGCCTTTTCAGATTTATTCAGTAAATCTTATCTCACTCAAGGCAGTTTAACATGTGAAAGAAGTATGATTAGATTTTCTAATTAAAAGTTAGCATTACAGATGATCAACACCACATTATGGAGGAAACAATGCAATCTCGGATGAGGCTGACATTAACATACAGTCAATTAACTAGTACAGAGAACTGATTCTGACTGAAAACCGAGGAAATATATTACCAGTGACCTGGCAATAAAATCTCCCAATGGCGGCATGCTAAACAGGGCATTTTAGTCCCCCCAAAAACTGGTCAGGCTTACAAGGTACAACAAGCATGCTTAAAACCCTGCCAAGTAGCAATATCACACATCTAGCTTTTGAAAAAGGTAAATCATAAGAAGGAAGGCCAGGAACAACCATTTTTGAACAGTTGACTTGATACACTTAACACTCCTCATTACAGAGTATTTTTCCCTTAGCACCGTGTCAGACGAACTTGTTTTCTATATTTACAAATATTGTAAATCTGTAAGTGTTGAAAAGCCACATGCAAAGGAACTGAAGCATCATTACAGTCAGAAAAATCAAAACAGAAAAATCCCAATCTGTGATGACATGAAAAAGGGCTGACCTAACAGTCAGATTACTGCCTTCCTGCTACACTTGGAAATCAGATTATTTTACTGGTCAGTGCTGCTGAGGTGACCAGTAACCTATTGGATTTAAACTTTCAAAAGGATATTTAAGGATGGGACTAGAACCAGTTTCATTTTGTAACTCTCTGATTTTGAACTGCTGAAGAGTCAGGCCTGCTAAATTAGACATCTGTGGACTGCCATCAGCCCTACAAAATGAGAGGAAAGCATTCCCTAGTGTCAGTACCAGCTTTCTTCCTTTGTCACTCTAATAGGAGTCTCTCCTTACCTCACCATTTATCACCAATTATTGAAGACTTGAAAGAGGTAATTTATTCGGGAACAGAATGTTGTGGTGGTATGTAAGAAATATAAGTGGCACGGTCAAAAAATTAAACTAGTCCTACACAAGGACACGGTCCTAATTAGTCTCTAGTACTTATTTTCTGAAAGATGAAATAAGTGATCTGGAGATGCCAGAATTACTTAGTAGCAAGAAATTTACAGATGAATTCTGGGTGTTATCCTGCTAGATGGTCTCTGTGTGCATCGTAATTGTATTTAAAATAAAAGCCCACATTTTCAAAGCTGGAGGTTTTTTTAAATTTCAAAACCCTTGTCCAGTTCAGTCAATTGATATAAAATTGAAAAACATCATGCTAAATTAAAATTAATTCCTAAAACTGACAACAAGCTTCTTATACAAACTTAACAACTAACTGGAAACTTCCAGTTCCCATGAAGCAACTGCAATTCTAAGTATCTTGCAGCTTGTGAGGAATATTGGGGAGAACAGCTTACTTTTCTAGAATTCCAGATTCTTCCAATCTGAAGGAAGAAAGATAATTGCAGTAAATTTAAGTAAGGAGGAACTAATAATATTAATAGACATAATGCAAACAAAAAATACGTAATGTTCTGCTTTATAATGAATGCTAGACTAACTGGAATGGTCCAACTGCTATAAGTGACATATTTAGCGACAAAACAACAGATCCAAGTAAACCTAAACACTGTTAAAGAGAAAATAAGGACATGCCCTACAAATAGATGCAAAATTGAAATTCTGACTATTAGTAAAAATTTTCTCGAGGATAGAAATTTTTACAGGAAACCACGTCTTGATACAGAGCTACAGTTTGACAGATCCAATCCAGTCCAACTAAAAAAGAAATAATCCTGCCTTACT